CATGAGCAGATATGATGTATAACTCAAATAGCATATGGCTAAAATGGCTACTCATCACCCTCGTGTTTTTTACTACCAAGTAGAGAGCAAAAACCAACTAACAGATTTTCATCTTCCTCCTAGGTTCTGTGCACCTTATTAATCATTTTAACTTATGGTTAATCTAACTAGTTTGCAACTCAGTAACATTTTAGCTTTTAGCTAAATTGTACATTATAGCTAACTAACTTGATTTAGCTTGTCTTAGTGTACTCGCTTACTGTATCTATAACATTTTCCATTAAATACTTTAAAGTTATCAGAAAATCTTATCTTATTCAGCCCATTCACAGCTATACGTGTCTTTAAACACTAGTATAGATCTTTTTCCCTTGACTATCGGGAGAATTGACATAGCTAGACTAGTCAATTTTTGTTTGTTGTATTAAATACACAAACAAATCATGAACTCATACAAAATTAATAATATCACACATTAAATCAACTATATTATAAAATTAAATTACTATGCACATTAAGTAATATTATAATCTCAATTAAAAGTAAGCACTTATATAAATAATATTGAACTCACATAAATAATATTATACCACATGATTAATTATATCACATAACTAATCTAAGATTTAATAATATTCAGGAGAAGACTTTGCTTTCTCAAAGCTTTGTGCCTCATTCTTCAATAAACATGCTAGAAAATCAAGACCAAAAGATGTAGACGTTCTAGCCCACAAGAAAATGATATGCACTGATGTTATGAGCATAACTTATCAAAAGTTTTATGTAACGATCCACTCCATCACACAGTATGATATTTTCCGCTTTGGGATCAAGCCCGCACGATTTTGTTATTGGGCTTTATCTCAAAAGGCCCCATACCTATTGGAGATAACACCACTACATAAAATCACTTTACCTTTCCCTTACATAGGTGGTGTGGGACTATGCACCTGTAACTTGCTTAGTGTGATAGCATGTCAGTGCCTCTTGCACCCGTCCATGACACACACACACCTACAAGGTTGTCACATTTTAGGTTCCATTTTAAATTTCTTAGGAGTAGGAGCTGCAACCTTAAATAGACATCCCCACACTTTTAAAAATTTATAAAACCTTTCCATAATTCATATAGTGTCACATTAGTTTCTTTTGAAGTATTTTATTGATAACATAATTTGCGGAAAGCAAAACTTCCCCTCACAAATTCTGAGTTAAACCAGAACTTGTCAACATAACATTCATCATTTCTTAGTAAATAATACCTTGTTTAGAATAAATATCAGCAAATGATGATTCATATTCACGAACTCTATCATTTCTTAACACATTGTCAAGTTGATTCTCAACCTCATTTTTGTAATATTTAAACATTTTTAAGGCTTTATATTTGCTTCGTAACAGATATAGATAACATCATCTTGTGCAAGCATTGATAAAAAGAATGAAATACCTTTTTCTATCTCTAGTTGGCACAAATTTAAGGTAATGTCATATACTTTATAATATCATATTACAAAATTAAAAGAATTCAACCAATATTGAATTATATAAATAATTCAATAATCTACTTATATAACGTGCTTCAATTTCACATAATATTGAACACATTAATATTTAGCATATTATTATATAATAATGTATATAACATTATTTTATTATATCTCAACTATTAGTATAATATCTACTTATTTATATCTTAAATAGAAGCATATAATAAAATATACGCAATGAATGCCAGTCTGTCTTAAGATTGTTGGTACATATATATGTTTTATGTGACATTTAAGATATAACAAACCTTATACTAATATGTCATAAGTTAATTAAAATATGCTAAGAAATCATTAATTAAATATGCAACTCTATATTTAATTAAATATGCAAAATAAAGCAATAAAATAATAATAATAAATAAAAAAACTTAGATCGAGGCTAGTATTGGATACTATGTCCTTAAGACAGATTCGCCCCGCTATGGTGCTAATGGACTCAGTGGCGTCTATCTCCCAGGATACAACGGTATACATCTACCAGTAGCAGCACTACAAACTCGTGGATACGGCGAACCTCCTCCGTGTAATACTCTCTCTGACTCAAAATGCATCTATACTATATAAATGCTGAATTGGGTGCAATCCGAACCAAATGATTCGGACCAATCTTAATATGGCTCGATAAAATTGAATTAGAGTCTAAGTGGTTCGGACCACTTAACCTATGGTTTGAACCCACTTGGGTTGGGTTCAAGTCTAGAGAGGGAGATAGAAGAAATTGAAAAATGAATAACCTGCAAATGATCCAAAGGGGGGTATTTATAGAAACAGAAATGCCTTTTCGGATTTGGTGCATCTCTTCATCATTGGACACAACCATTGCAATAAGTTGCAATGGTTCACATGGTGTCTGTTCATTATTGGACACAACCATTCCAATAGGTTTTAATGGTTCACATAGTGTCTGTTCACCACTAGACACATCTATTCCAATAGGTTGCAATGGTTCACATGGTGCTTGTTCACCAATAGACACATCCATTCCAATTGGTTGAAATGATTCACATAGTGTCTGTTAACCAATAAACACATTCACTGTAATTAGTTTCAATGGTTCACATGGTGTTTGTTCACCACTAGACACATCCACTCCAATAGGTTGCAATGTGCCTTTTCGAGTGGGTGCAACCTGGGTTATGATGGTTCGGAAAAAGGTGTAACCCTTTGAAAAAACTAAAAAGTGATTTTTTTTTTTTTTTTAATTTAAAAGATATAACCCTTTAGAAAAACTAAAATATGATTTTTTAATTTAAAATGTGTAACATTTTAGAAAAACTAAAAAGTAGTTTTTTTAATTCAAAAAACCAACCACCAAAAAAACCCACCCATTTGTGAAACCCATTTAAATAAGTCCGGCCCAAAATTAGGCCCAATCCAAAATTCCAAAAAAGAATAATCTGGACTTTACAATTAGGCCCAAACCCAAGCCCAAATCCTAAACTCAGCTTATTTAAATTTCAATTTGTTTTAACATTTTTTCCATATGACACAAACACTTCCCACATTTTGCATACCCATTTAGACTTATCAAAACACCATACTTTGGAGCTAATTTCTCATTCACTCGGAAACGGATTTAAGAAAGTAAATATACCACGTTCATCTCCTTGCGGAGAGAAACACGCTCGTCTAGAGATCCGCAAAAAATTATTAGCGAAATCTATTCCAAATCTCATCCAAAGTTTATGTTTTTAATGCCTTTGTTTCCAACACACATTACATATAGAAAATAAATAAATAAAAGTAAAAAACGAATTGAGGGCACCATAATATATTATGCATATGAACAAAGGATGATTAATTTATGCAAATGAGGTCCTGCATTTTGTTTTAACCTGAAACAAAATAAGTGTATTGTTATTGATAAGAAATTCACATACCCATTTTGCTCTTTTGAAGAGTTAACCCTCACAATCTATTTGAGAAGGAGAAGATATACTTTGAAATATAACAGAAAGATGCAAGCAGCCAACAGCAATAACTTTCAGTGATCACGAAACAGTCATAATGTAGTCACCAGAAGCAAAAATCAAGATTAAAATGAAAGGTACAAACTCAAGAAACAGTCATAATGTAGTCACCAGAAGTCATTAAAAGCAATCTATGCTGATATGGGATACTAGAAAGAAAGAAAAACCTCAACTTGCTTTCACGTATAATTTTGCCCTACTCCTTGTGGAAAACACTCATCAAGGTTTTTGTTACCGCTAACATAGCATGGGATCAAATGGGGCCTAAGGGACAGAACCAAGGACAGAACCAGCCATTTGGCACAACAGTTTACTTGAATTTTACATGAACAATGAACACACACACTCTCTCTCTCTCACACTCACACACAGCAATCAATGATAATGTCACCTGGTTCATTTGGTGTTGTCTACTCAATGGGCCCTAACCATGTGGAATGAAATCAAGGTGTCCACTACTGTTGACATGAGATAGGAGTATAAATGAAATAAAGGTGTCTGTTACTGTTAACGAAATCCCCCACCTCCCTCCCTCCCTCCCTCCCTCTCTCTCACACACACACACACACAAACACACCCACAACAGGAACCAGGGCTCAAGTATATTTGAATATCAACAGCATTGCAACCTTTGCAGTGTCACAGTAAATTAATCTCCAGTCCAATGTTTAGATGGACTCTTCAAAAGTAGTATAGTGTTGGATACGTATTATTTGGACATTGATATGGGATATGTGTTCGCCACTTTTGGATGGACATGTAATTAAAAACCACATACGATCATTCAATTATATCATTCAAATGAACCATCTAAATATGAAATATAATGAAAAGAACATGCAATAACACTATTAATTCAAGAATGGTTTCAGAACATTACATCACATTATAAAATGCCTATAAAATTTTGTAAGTCTTGAATATATTTGTACCTCTTCTTAGCATAAATTTGAACACATACTGTTATCTTTCTATATGGGAGCCAGATGGATGCAATTCAAGCTAAACAGTTCGACTATCTTAGTAATCATACAAAATCATTAGTAATGCATGAATCATAAAAAGAAAAAAGAAAAAACATGCTGATTGATGCATCATCACATTTTCCTTTTTTTTTTCCTCTTCTCCTTTACTTTTTGTTTGGATGTAATGAATGGCATTGCAGGGCATGTGAGGTGAGTCACCACCTCAATATCCAATGCACGGAGTAAAATACAAATGGCACCTACTCTCCATGAGATAGATTAATATAAAAATATATCAATAAAATATTGAGAAAGTACATAGACACATACTGAAACACTTAAAAGTCTTGAGATCAATTCACCAGAAATTATCACTTCCACAAGTGAAATAACACTTAGAATGAACAATTGAGATATCTAGGCTCAAAGAGTGATCCCCAAGGTTAATTATGACAATAGATATAATTTTGATGGCATAGCCTTGAAACAAATATTTGATAGTAGAGGCCATATTAAATAAAATTTTGGAAGTGAATGGATTTGTTGATGGAGGAAATTCCACCTCTTTACAGAGCAAATATTCAATTGATACAAGTAGTGAAAATCCCCCATAAAATGTCCATCCCTAAGCTACAGAAGGCAAAGAGCTTGATAACATCGGGCAATATAGTCCTCAGCAAAAGGACACAGCAGACAACAAAATTAAGCCCTAGAAGTTTCTTCACTACCCTTTTGAACTTTGGTGAAAAAGAAAAACAAACAATAAATAACTACTCTTTTGAAATTTCTCACCCAATGGCTGGAGAAATAAATTCATGGAAATCAGATAGAGTTAGTACAGTTACCCAGTTCTTGAATTACTGATTCCAAGGATGGCCTCTGCTCGGGTGATTCATGGGTGCACATCAAAGCAATTTTGGCAAGCTTTGCAGCTTCATATTCAGAGAACCTGCTATGGAGATTCGTATCAATAAAATCGTGATAATTGCATGATTCAGCAGCAGCTCTTATCAAACCAGTGAGTTTTCGCTTCCCGGAGAGGATCTGAAGAATAAGTACACCGAAAGCATAAACGTCACTCTTCTCTGTGAACCGGCCTGTAGTGGCATATTCAGGAGCTAGATATCCCATGGCAGCACTGGCCTTGAGTGTTGAGAAGACAATGTCATCAGTAAGAAGCTTGTGCAGGCCAGAATCGGAGATCAAAGGTTTAAATCGCTGATCGATGAGCACCTTCTCAGCCGATATGTTTTGGTGAACTAGAGCAGGTTTGTTAACTTTGCACCCATGCAAATATTCTATACCTGAATAGAAAGAGAGACAAAAGCTCAGATTTTACAAATAAAGAGAGACTCCTGTGGTGTCCAAATTGCAAAATATTACTCTATAAATTTCCTTGAAAGTTAACCTATTGTGAGTAGAATAAGAACATGAAAGAAACAAAGTATAATCATTCTAAATTGTTTAGAGATAATTATTTCATTGGCAAGCTCCAAAAAGTAAATTCATGAAGCATGAAGTTCTTAGTTTAAAAACAAACAAGAGACAACAACTTCATTGATTTTGATATGATGAAACATAAAAAAGTTGGTGTGCTTCTGGAATTCAAGCTATTGGGCACACCTAACAAGAAGATAAGGGGCCATTTAAAAAACAGACTGAAATGAAGTTGTTGACCATTTTCTTGAAATGAGTTTCACCTTGTAGAATCATTACATTCACTTTGACAAAAGAAATGTCATACATTCAATTCTTAACCCTTTCTGTTAATGATCGCACTTGTTTCAACGGACTCCATTCCTAATGGTAAACTTGGGCCCTCAAAAATTGTGGCTGAAATGGGATGATTTGGAACTTAGATGGAAAAATATAAGGAAGACAGAACTGACCTTTGGCAATGCCATTGATGATAGAAACTCTGGTGGACCATTCAAGGACCTGACCGTTCCCCTCTTTCACATCGAGATAGCACAACAAACTTCCATTTGGAACAAATTCATAAACGAGAAAACACTCACCACGGTCTCTTGAACAACAAAATCCTCTCAACCTAACTAAATTGTCATGTCTCAACGAGGTTAGAATGTTCAGTCCTTTCAAGAACTCAGTTTCCTCTGTCTTGCAGCTTGTTTTAGTGATGCTCTTTATTGCAACGATAGATCCATCTCTTAAAATTCCTTTGTAGATGGCTGAAAAGTTGCCCTTGCCCAACAAATTCTTTTGTGCGAAGTACTGAGTAGCTGACTCTACCTCTTCCAAATTAAACCTAAAGTCCTGCAAAACCTCTTGTGGGAACCCACCAAAACTCCGACCATCAGCCAAAGGTCCCCACCCTTTGGAGTACTCAAGGCTGATGAGTGGAGAGCCATTCCTCCTAGAAATCTCCTTGGCCTGGTCAGTACTAAGCTGGCCCTCACATATATCAAATGAGCTCCCAAGTTTCTGCTTTCGGCGACGATATTGCATAAATGTCAGAAATCCTATAGCTGACAACGCAAGAGTGACCACAATTACTCCAACAACAACGGAAGCTTGTGGGGCTTTAGATGTATGTGAGCATCGAATTTGGCTGCAATTAAAATTTAAATTTGCGGTCTCCGGAATGTTTTTTGTCGAGAGACCAGTTGTGCCACCTTCAAAAGGTTCAGGTCTGCTTGGATTCAGACGATCCGAGGCACTGCAATTTCTCAAAGCTAAAAACCCTACTCCACATAATCCTGGGTTATTTTCATATTGGAATCCGCCAACTAATCTCTTCAGAGCTTCATCCATCCACAACAAAAACAAACAAAGTAAGGAAATTTTCTTACAGCAGATCAAACTGAAACACTTAAAATAAATTATATGACATACACGAGTAATGAAAATTTTTACCTGGAGGTACATTGCCAGAGAGAGTATTGTTTCGGACATCTAGAACTTCCAGCATGGGAGCATTTGCAAGTTTTGCAGGAATTGAACCAAAGAGGCAATTAAAACTCACATCTAGCCTCATTAACGATCCTAAATCCCCTAAGCTTGCAGGGATCGCACCAGTTAGTTGATTAGATTGCAGAGCTAGAACACTGAGCTTCTTCAGGGATCCCAGCTGTGTAGGAATGCTTCCCGTGAACTGGTTATAAGAAAACTGCAAAACTACAATGCAGATGCAAAGCAACACAATCAAACTACGGAATAAGAAACGTTAAAGCAGAAACACCAAAACAAAAATCACAAGCAAGATTAACAATTATGAACAAAACCCAAATGAGTTATGCAGGGAAAGGGGGAAAAAAATAAAAAATTGTACCTAGTATTGGAACATAAAAAGGCAAGGGGAAAAAATGAGTAAGCATGCAGGAACACAGACATTCATAAACAAGTTAAAATATTTTCTAAGAGACACCAAATAAGTTGAGTTGGAGCATTAACGGAATCCCCAAAAATAGTTCAAATCAAAGTAAAAATTTTGAGCCAAGATAATATATTTCTGAAAACAAATAAAGAACAAACTATGCAAAGTACATAAATGGAGTGAAAAAAAAAAAAAAAAAAAAACAAAACAAAACAAAACAAAACAAAACAAAAAACAAAAAACAAAAAAACAAAAAACAAACCCGGAGCTTTTAATTTACACCAACCAACCACAGAAAGACTAAATGTATTAAGGTCTCTTAAACAAAAGCCAGAAACTAATTTCCGAAAAAGAGAAGAAAAAAAACAAAACAAAACAAAAACAAAAGTAAGAAACTCTCAAGGAAGAAGAAAAAGAAAGGTTCATTTCAATCACATTCGGATCAAATAACAAAACCCAAATGAATGATGCAGAAAGAAAATTGGTACCCAGTGTAAGGGAAAAAAGGCAGGGGGGAAAATGAGCAAACATGCAGGGGAGCACAGAAATTCATAAACAAATTAAAAGAAATAATAATAAAAATCTAAGAGACCCAAAATGAGTTGAGTTGGAGCATTCATGCATCCTCCAAAAACAGTTCAAATCTAAGTAAAATTTTGAGCCAATATAAATTATTTCTCGAAACAAAGAAAGAACAAATTATGCAAAGTATATAAATGGAGTGAAAAAAAAATAATAATAATAAGAAAAACACACTGGAGCTTTTCATGTCTTCGGTGCCAAACCCTCAAGGCCAACCATAGAAACAGTAAATTTATCAAGGTCTCTGAAACAAAAGCCAGAAACTAATTTCCGTACAAACAAAAAAAAAAATTCAGAAACTCTAAAGGAAGAAGAAAGATCCATTTATTTACAATCAGCTCAAATGACAAAAAATAAGAGTTTTGCTGAAGATATACATATATGTATCATGTATGTGTGTTTGTGTGTGTGTGTATATATATAATATACAGAGATGCATATCTAAATAAGAAATAAGCCCAAAAATGAAAAGAAATTATCAAGTAAGATTGAAGATTCTTCTTTACATAAATAGAAACCGATATGTAATCAATCACTAACCTTGTAAACTAGCCATGTTTCCAAGTTCAGTAGGCATGTTCCCAGAAAGATTATTAACATTGAGATACAGATCGCTCAGCTTAGTCAAGTTCGAAACTTGTTTGGGTATCTCTCCATACAAAGAGTTGTAATGCAGGTACAAACCCGTCAAGTGCTTGAGCCCAGCGACAGCCGGCGAGAGCTTGCCGAAGAGACCTTTGCCCTGCAACGAAATGTTGGCCACCTGACCCTTTTCATTGCACGCAACGCCTTCGAATGAGCCGTCACAGGGACGGCCTGAGACTGTCCACGAGCTCAGAAAAGTGTTGTCTGGGTCGAGACTGGCCTTCATGTCCATGAGAGCTCTGACCTCGGCATTTCCACGAACAGGTAGTGGGCGAGAGAGTGTGAACATTAGGAGGAGAGAGAAGAGAAATGCCGAGATACCCATGTTTGTTTCGGCTCAAAATGGTCGAAGACGAGGTCTTTTTCTCTTTCTGAGACTGGGTTGTGACTTTCTCTCTCTACAAGTATGTTCTGGTTTCTGGGTTTCTTCCTTCTTCTTCTCTCTTCTTTTCTTTGTTTTGACTTGCAGAGCAAAGTCTGAGGAGTCGAATCTCGGCGATTAAGGCTTGCAGAGAAGAGAAAGCTTCTCTGTCCTCCCCCCTCTCTCTCTTGGACAAAAAGAAGATGGCGAGTAGACGACAATCGAAGAAAGAGAGAGAGAAAATGACGAGTACGTCCCTGAATGTTCCACGTCAGCATATGTGGGGTCCTGATGCCGTGGCAAGGATCAGGGGTGATTTGGAGTCAGAATCGTGAAAGTTCGAGAAAGCTCGGGATAAAGCCTGAGGCGTAAACTTGTGATATTTGCCGTTGGATGTGGTGACTATTATTTGAAGGAGCATGAGACTGATGGATGCTCAGCTGCATATTAGTCGTTTAGTTCAGTGACATTTTAGTTATGGGCGTCCACATTGCTCGGATAGAATAATCAGAATATATAATGTACAAACGCTTGTGCTTTCACAGCGGGTCCGTAAGGCGTCGTTTGGATGGGAGGATTTGGGGGATACTGGGAAAGAAAAGAAAGAATCAGGAATATTGTGTTTGAATGGGAGGACGCGAGAAAATAAATGATTGAGAAGGATTTGGAATGATAGTCTGAATCAGTCATATTGTATTCCTCTCAAAATGAAAAGATTTGAAGGAAAAAAAAAAAGTGGGTTAGTGATACTTTCATAATGCTAAAAATAGCTTCAAAATTATAATATTGGCTTGAAGAATCAACTCCAAATTTATAAATGAAGGGTTTGATAGTAATTCGATTGTTATTCTTTCTTTTCTTTTCTCTCCTCTCATTTGTCTTGTCCAAACAAAAATACTTGCATTTTCTTTTTTTTTCTCTCCCATTATCCAAACATGAATGTAAATTATCACTATCATTTTATACCTTTCTTTTCTCTTGTAACTAATTTTATCATTTCCTTTCTTTTCTCTCCTAGATATCCAAACAAAGTCTAATGGAAGAAATGCAAGCTGAGTTTGGTTGGAGGGTAATGGAAGGAAAACAAAAGAAAGAAGAAATTAAATTATATAGTATAGATTATTAAAATGGAAGGAAAGGGATGAAAAGGTTAGGATATTTAATAAAATTTTGTTAATTCTCAAATGTTTCTTATTTTTTAAAAAAATAAAATTTATGAAACAAATATGGTAATAAATTAATTTAAATAGTTTTTTAATTTTTTTTTTCCAAACATGATTATTATAATTTTTTTTATTAATTAACCAAACAAAATAAGTGGATATCCTCTAATTTTCTTTCTCTTCTTTTCTTTCCTAGCTAATATTATCATTTATTTTTTTTTTTCCCCACCAAACATAGGCTTTGGCTGAATAAACATAAGAGAAAATATTATGTTTGGATAAATTATAAATTATGGAGCAAATGGAGCAGAAAGAATAGTATTTTTGCTTAGGAAAAGAAAAAAAAAAAATAGTACATAATCATATCCTTCTATATTGATCCCGGCTATAACTTTTTTTTAATTGTTGAAGGTATTTACGAAATTTTGAAAATATTACTTAAACGTACTATCATTTCTATCCCAATCTTTTTATTTTTGAAAGAATAAGGAATGAGGGATTTGGAATGATATATTATCCCTCTAAATCACTCCAAATCCATTATTTTCTCTTCATAATGATAACCAAATATAAAAATCACTATCATTTTAGCTTAGTTTGTTTAGATGTAAAATATTTTCAAAAAATATTTTTTATTTTTTGGTGTTTAGTTGTCGTAAAATATTTACAAAGAAAAAATATATATTAAAACCTAACAAAAACATCTTATACGCTCCACCTGATGGACTCGACCTCAATCTCGACCTAGACCTTTGTCAAACACCGAAAATATAAAAATAAAAAATATATTTTACCTGCAAAATGAAAATCTTTTGCGAGAAAAATATTTTATATTTAAACAAATGAACCGAATTTCTTTCCAAAACTAGAAATCCAAACAAGGACTTAGAGGGACTCTTGAACTTCATTTGTAAGTGCTCTTTTTAAAATAATTTTTTAAAAAAATTAACTCATAAACCTATATTTGTTCTTGATAAACTATGAACTCTCAACCTTCAATTTAAAAGAAATTTGATTCCAATTTAGCTTGCACCACGTTAAATTAAGATTATATATCACTTTTCTAATATAACATTGGCCCAATTCATTTAAATATTCTAATAAAAATAGTATTTTAATTCTTTCTTTTTTTTTTTCTCTCCTCTATCTTGTCCAAACAAGAATATTAGTATTTCCTTTCTTTTTTCTCCTATTATCCAAACATGAATTTTAATTATTACTATCATTTCATTTCCTTTCTTTTCTCTCGTAACTAATATTATCATTTCCTTTCTTTTCTCTCATGCGTATTCAAACGAAGCCTAAAGGAAGAAATGCAAGCTGAGTTTGGTTGGAGGGTAATGGAAGGAAAACAAAAGAAAGAGGAAATTAAATTATTATATTGTATAGATTATTAAAATGAAAGGTAAAGGATGAAAATGTTAGGATATTTAATAAAAATTTGTTAATTCTCAAATGTTTTCTTACTTTTTTAAAAAATAAAATTTACGAAACGAATATGATAATAAATTAATTTAAATAGTTTTTTTATTTCTTTTTCCAAACATGATTATTATAATAATTTTTTTTTTTTTATTAATCAACCAAACAAAATAAGTGGATATCCTCTAATTTTCTTTCTCTTCTTTTCTCTCCTAACTAATATTATCATTTATTTTCTTTTTCTCCTACCAAACATAGGCTTTGGCTGAATAAACACGAGAAAATAAAAGAGAGACTGGCAATAGCATTTATTTATGTTTGGATAAATTATAAATTACGGAGCAAAAGAAAAGAAAGAATAATATTTTTGCTTAGGAAAGGATCAAAGGTAGAGGAGAGAAGAAAAAAAATAATAGTAGATAATCATATCCTTCTATATTTATCCCGGATATAACCTTTTTTTAATTGTCGAGGGTATTTACTAAATTATGAAAATATCACTTAACATACTATCAGTTCTATCCCAATCTTCTCGTTTTTGAAAGAATAAGAAGTAGGAGATTTAGAAGGATATATTATCCCTCTAAAACACTCTAAATCCATTCTTTTCTCTTCATAATGATAACCAAATATAAAAATCACTATCATTTTAGCTCCATTTGTTTAGGTGTAATTTTTTTTTTCAGTGTTTAGTTGTCGTAAAATATTTATGAAGAAAAAAATATATTAAAACCTAACAAAAATATCTTACACGCCCCGCCTGATGAACTCTACCTCAATCTCGACCTAAACTTTTGCCAAACACGAAAATGTAAAAATAAAAAGTATATTTTACCTGAAAAATGAAAATCTTTTTCGAGATAAATATTTTACGTTTAAACAAATGGAACCGAATATCCTTCCAAATCTATCAATCCAAACAAGGACTTAGGCTCAGTTTGGTAGAGTGGAAATGGGAGGAAAAGAAAAGAAAGGTTATGGAGGGAGATAAAAAAACGTGTTTGTTGCTGAAAGTTAGAAGGAAAGGAAAGAGAATAGAGGGTTTTGGAGGATAGAAATAGGCTTAACAGTAAGTTTTGTAATCCTCCCAAAAATGGGAGGAAATGGAAAGAAAGGGAAAGAGAGGCTTGGTGTATGACTTCTGATGCCAAATATGCCCTTGATTACAGGTGAATTTAGTTTGCAAAACAAGAATAACAGACCTTGATATAGCTTGAGAGTTGACAGACAGAGGGTCAGCGGCTGAAGCTTGCGAACGACGATGAACAACGGGCGATGGAAACTGAAAGATATGGTTTTGATTTATTAAACAATCTGAAATGATATGCTGATATAGGTTTTGAACTTTTGATTCGTGCAGACAGATATATAAACTGAAATATATGGGTTTTGAACTTTTGATTCGTGTAGTTTGCAGTTGCACAGAGAGAGAGAGAGGGCAAGTTCAGAGTCGACAACGAGAATAGAGATGGAGGCGGTTCAGAGTCGACAACGAGAATAGAGATGGAGGTGGTTCAGAGTCGACAACGAGAATAGAGATGGAGGCGATTGGGGTGAGGCTGAAATGATTTGCCCTAAAAATATTTTCTTTCTTTTCTGGTGGCCCATCAGCCTTGGGCCATAGTAGGAGACAATATAATATATATATATAAGAAAATTATTTTAATAAAATTACTATTATACCCTTCAATATTTTAAAAGATATATATATATATATATATATATATATATATATATATATATATCTTTTAAAATATTGAAGGGTATAATAGTAATTTTATTAAAATAATTTTCTTTCCTTTCTTTTCCTTCATTAATCAACCAAACACAATAGGGGATTAAAATTATTCTTCCATTCCCTTTCCTTCATAACTAATATTATCATTTCCCTTCAAACCCACCATACCAAACATAGCTTTAGATGGACATTTGAACTTCATTTGTAAGTGCTCTTTTATTTATTTATTTATTTTTAAATCAATTCATAAACCTATATTTGATCTTCATCAAATATGAACTCTCAACCTTCAATTTAAAAGAAAGAAGATCGGTTTACAATTTGATTCCAATTTAGCTTGCACCACGTTAAATTAAGATTATATATCACTTTTCTTATATAACATTGGCCCAATTCATTTAAACATTCTAAGAAAAATAGTTTTTTAATTCTTGTTAGAAGCAAATTTCAAAAACTAAAAATATAATCCCGTGTAGATAAATAGAGAATTTTTATTTAGCTCACAGAAGTTATGGTTAAGCAAGGCTTAATTTAACTTAATGTAATTATTATTAAATTAAATAACAAAAAAAGCTCAATCGCAAAAGAACTAATCAAAATTATTCTTAAATTTATGAGTTCGGTTCAGTTTAATTCGGTTCTAATTTTATTAAACCATTACAATTGGTTTTTATTCCATTTTACCTTCTAAATCAATCCCGTCTATAAACACACCACTTATTAGCCCAAAAAAACAGGTAGATTATTTTTCATGTTTGATTAGGCTTTGTGGTGTAAATTGTAAATAAATCAAAATACCTCGTATTGTTTTTGAAGTTTGGTAATGATTTTTGAAGAACAACTTGAGTAAATTATACTACTTGTTTTTAAGGTTTGAAGTT